GGATGGACAGTTGGATAAATGGCTCTATATCTGAGCAGTGTAGCTCTTTAAGATGATATTTATTCAGTCGGTGTCACAATATAATTGATGAAACAAATTTGTATTAATGATTCCTTCCTTGTTGAGATTCATTCAGTAGAATAATTAAGCTCCCAGCACGTCTGCACAGATATCACGCAATCCTCACGCTGATATCGGAAGCCTGCCGGGGGTTTTATGTCACGTGTTGTCTAGTTTGGGTGTTTTATGTTGTGTATTATGTATTCTCCTGCCAGGACTGAGAACTGAGGTGACGTTATTTGGTTCAGTCATTGATGGAGAACAAGATTCAAAGTTTATGAATATTCATGTCGGTTCTTCAGGCCGCAGCACAGCAGCATCGATCAGACAACAATGTCTTCTATAATCCGGGGGTTCTGACCACTGGGGTATAAAGGTTTGGTTTGCATGGCTACAATACAGGAATATACCTTTCCGATTGGTGGATTTGTGAATAGGGAGGGACGTGTAAATATATTTTGTTTTTGGATGGCAATCCAAACCCTACTTAAAGGAGAACTATGGGGTTAGGGCTTTTCCCCATAGTTCTCCTTAGGGTAATGGGAGGACACAAACCAGCGTCCTCTCCGTCACCCTGGGGACGCTGTATACTGAGACGCCGCAGCTGAAGCGGATCCCGACAATTATGTCTGGATACGCCCAGCTGCGTGAGTGACAGCCTATCTAGAGGCAGAACCAGCTGTACCCGCCCCCTCCCCCGTCCGTAGCGCTCTCTTAGATGCCGAGTCCAGTCAGAGCGAGCATTGTGTGCCCGGGCCCTCAGAGGGGAATCACATGGCACCCAGCGGGCCTCTGTGTGATCTTTATGAGCTGCTCCATGTCGGAGATGATCAGTATTTTCTCTGTCTCCGTCAGCTCGTCAATCTCTCCCGTTCCGCTGGTTTTCCCTGCAATTTATTTTGCGGCCGTGTGTGTGTGGAAACCTGCGCCGGTATTTTTAGAAATGATCCGAAGGGATTCTTCTAAATTGGGAATTAGCAGACTGATTTCTGCTCCTGTGAAATATCCGTATCCCTCCAGAGCTGAGAAATGATACGAGTCAAGCGTGCCGAATTTTCACATACTAAGTATTAAAGCTGAACTCCGGGATCAGCAGACATCGTCCTCATACAAGAGTCACGTGTGTTCTATATTGAATCTTGGTGAGCTTTGTGTATTTCTTCCAGATCTGTAATCCCGTGTGAGACTCGGAGCTTCCTGTAATAAAGACCGCTCACTGCTGCTCTCTTCTTGTGCAAGGTGACTGGTCTGGTCTCCGCCCCCTCCTGTAATAAAGACCGCTCACTGCTACTCTCTCTCCTTGTGCAGGGTGACTGGTTTTCTCTCCGCCCCCTCCTGTAGTGGGTGGGGCCTGCTGAGCTCTCTTCACGAGCTATGTACAGCACAATGATGATGCCCCCAGTCGTTGCCCAACACCATCACACACTGTGCAATAGTAGCGGGTCCTGGATTGTATGTAAATATATTAAAGGCCCCTCCACATTCCAGGGCTTGAGTGCTCCGGCTATTGAGGGAGCGAGGAATAGGACAAGTATTGCTCTTTGCTATATTCTCGTAGAATTACTGTATCAGGGGGGAGGGGCGCTAAAATGTGATTTTCATAAGCTGACCGGAGTTCTCCTTTAAGCTTTCATAAATTGTGCTTATGGTCATTTAAAGAGTAATTGTAATTTTGTAATTTTAAAAACCAACGTTTTGTAACGTGTATGTGAATGGTTTGTGATGCAAAAGAAGCTTTGAGCCAATGGAAGAACGGCTCTCCAGGAATTGATTTGTTATTGTTATCTCCACCCTGGAAGTCATCTGGCGGGAGCGCTGACAGACCAGCTGCCTCTATTATGAGATACACAATCTTCATTGACGAGGAGTTTGTGATGATGACGTTTTGGGAATGAAAGGCAGAAGAGGCAATGCTGGGCTTGTGCTGCTCGCTCATCGACATGCAGGGAAAACAAACGCTGGAAGGAAATGAGTGATAGCATGAAAACCTGTCTTATGATGTATGCATATAATGTGATCCCGTCTTAAAGTGTTTCTAAAGCCAAAACTTTATTTTTCCTATTTTTGATATTTGGTGTACGGGATGGTTAATGCCATCTGCGTCCCATTCAACAAATTTCCATTCACTTCCTGTCCTGTGGACACTACAGGAAGTGAGACGAATTCTATCCAAAGTGAGGAAAATCCTTCAACAGAACACGTGTCCCCATTGGAAGGTTTTATCTTATTTCCTGTTCTGGTAACCGCTAAAAATTGTTGGATTTCTACTCCCTTTCAGCCCTGGTGGTCATTAGAACAAATAGCGGGCACATGGACAGTAACAAGAACCTGAGTGAATCTAGCATTGCAGCGCAACACTGTGCTATTCACCTCTAGATACAAGTTCATTCCAGTGACGGACTGTTTACCAAGCCAATGCGTTTCAGGGGCTGTAGCCCCTCCCCCCCGCCCCCCTTCATCAGGGCTAGAATACAACACAAGAAATGGGTAGAAGATGGTCAAAAACTGCCTCCTATATCCTGGGTGGGCAACTTCGGCCCTCCAGCTGTGGTAAAACCACAAATCCCATAATGCATCTGCCTCTTGGGGGTCATGCATGTGGCTGTCAGAGTCTTGCAATGCCTCATGGGACTTGAAGTTCAACAACAGCTTGAGACCCGGAATTGCCCACCCCTGTTGGCGCACAACTGGGGGCATCATCATTGTGCTGTACATAGCTTGTGCAGAGAGCTAAGTGGGCCCCACCCACTACAGTAGGAGGCAGAGACAAGACCAGTCACCTTGCACAAGGAGAGAGAGTAGCAGTGAGCAGTATTTATTACAGGAGGGGGCGGAGACGAGACCAGTCACCTGTAACAACCAGACCCCACAGGTCTTATTTTAGGTGGAGGATCACAGCTGCAGAAGTATGAGGAGGGGGTGCAATCCTACACCACAGTGAATTTACAGTCTTATGTTAATGAGTTAGGCAACAATTACTTAGCATGAAAAATAGATGAGGTTTTATTGTAGGGAGTAGTCCTTTTAGATTAGTGGGGTGAAGGATGACAACAATCAATGGGAGCAATCAAGTTATCCCTATGCACAGTTCTATCAATATGCAAGCATTTGGAAATCACAGTCTGTGGTATGCTTACTGCTATTTTAGTTGATAGGAATGATAAGGAGAATGTTGGTGCCTCCGGTGGATCTTTAGAGTAACTGCAGTCCGGATTGTAATAGTCCTTGCTGAAGCTGGGGATGAAGGAGGTAGTGGAGACCGAATTGCAGGGCTGGAGGGAAGTCGAAGCAGGATGTGCTGGTGGTTTTGGAGGGGCTCTGTTCGGCCCAATAAGAGGAAGAGGTTCGGTGCTGGGATACAGGAACTTGCCTGGCGTCTTCACACTTGCTCGAACGTCAGGCAAGTGTAACGTTCAGCCTTAACTAGGGAGTGGGGGAGGAGTCCTGGAACGAGGAACAGGTGAGTGATCGAGTGCACCTGTTACATCACCCTGCACAAGGAGAGAGATCAGCAGTGACCGGTCTTTATTACAGGAGGGGGCGGAGACAAGACCAGTCACCCAACACAAGGAGAGAGAGAGCAGCAGTGACCAGTCTTACAGGAGGAGGTGGAGACAAGACCCCTGACTGCTTGTACCCGCTCTCCTCTCTGACACACACTGTCACAGGAGGCTGAGCGAGCGGTGCAGGGAGGAGAGCTCCGCCTCCTGTGACAGCGTGGCCTGTCTCCTCCCACACACCGCTCTGCCGGACTGTGATAGGAGGCTGAGCGGTGTGGGAGGAGACTCCGGCCACTCACAGCGCTCGACTCCCGCAGCGCTCAGCCGGCTGTCACTTTCTCTCCTCCCCGCTGGGACACGGAGCAGCGCCCAGCGGGGAGGAAAGAAAGCAGGAGGGAGGCTGGGCGAGCGGTGCAGGGAGGAGAGCTCCGCCTCCTGTGACAGCGTGGCCTGTCTCCTCCCACACACCGCTCTGCCGGACTGTGATAGGAGGCTGAGCGGTGTGGGAGGAGACTCCGGCCACTCACAGCGCTCGACTCCCGCAGCGCTCAGCCGGCTGTCACTTTCTCTCCTCCCCGCTGGGACACGGAGCAGCGCCCAGCGGGGAGGAAAGAAAGCAGGGATGTGCCGATGTATCGGCAGGAAAATGGCAATTTCGGCATTATGCCAAAAGTGCCATTTTTGGCCGATATGTTTCGGCTGCCGATATATCGGTGCATCTCTAAACATTATTATATAAAAGAACATTTTATATTCATCTTTTATCTATTCCTTGTGTTGTATTTTAGCCCTGATGAAGCTACAGCCCCCGAAAGGCGTCTTTCTAAACGTGTCTCTCATTGAAATGAAGTTGGATCTGGACTTGAATGTTGCGGTGTCTCAGTTGTAGATTCACTCATCCCCCATCACATCCCAAGGGGATTGTGAAAATCCTTCGGAGTGTAGAAGTGACCAGCCCAATGTTCCAGTTCTGCATATCTACTCTACTGCCATACTTTCGATGAGCACCGTCATATATGAAGACAAAAATAAAATACCTTTTGGGTTCCATTACCGCCGGTCCACGTTCTCAAGCAATAAGAACCTGGCGGAACCCCAAACCCTACAACCAAAACTCACATGAAAAGGTTTTTGGCTTTGGAGACACTTTAGGTCTTCGTGGTTGTCACCTCCAGTTGGCCCTCATGGAGGAGCTCCACCTTCGACATGTACGGTTGCTGCGGTGGGTCAGAATGAATCTAATTAACCCCTTCGTGACTGACGACGTACAGTGTACGTCGCCAGCATCGGGGCTGTTTAAACAGACTCCCAATAATCATTTCTTCTATTCATAATAAACTGTTTTTAATCTTTTTTTCTGATGCCTTTTTGTGACTTTATTTGCTGTTTGTAGACCCAATCCGGACAGAAAAGAATTGAATGTATCCTCTTGTGTTACAGATTCTATGCTACATGCCATTGACTCCGTTGGACACAGTTTAGGCCCAGGTACAAAGAACCTTTCCCACCCCCCACCCTCCTCCTTTCCTCTCCGCGTACCTCCTCGCTCTGTACTGCAGCGGCAGTATGCCGCCCTTCCTTGCATATGGCAGCCATGTTGGGAGGCATAGGCTTGGGGTTTTTTTACAGCGCGCGGAAGCTTTCCGTAAAGCAAACGTTGAACTTAGGGGAAAAACTTCCCCATCCTGTCGTATCTCATCCAATTCAAGCAGAAAATAACTCGCCCCAGACCCAAATGACATTAGACGCAGGCACGGGAGTGTGAGTGCCCAAAGAAAATACAGTTGGAGTTGGGAAGTGACTCGCTTTCCCGGCAGTCGCGGTCCATAGGGATAGGCTTCCAGGCACCTCGCATTGTATGTGTTGTGGTGCTCAGAGATGAGGACATGTTCAACGGGCCATGTAAAAAAATAAAAATAAATGAAAGCTATTTTATTTCGGGCCTGTGGCTTCAGCACCATGGAAGCCATGTTTGTGAAATAGAGTCTAGGCTCATTGATGCCCTCTTCGTGGAGCAATTGGCTTTAACTAATCATATATTGTTAGGCTCGAGATAATGGTTCTTTAAAGGAGAACTCCAGGAATTAAGAAAATTAACGCTTGCTGTGGGGCTCTACTTCAAGGGTTAAATGCTCATTTTGGTCTAGGCGCTGGAATACAGAAGATATATTCACCTGATCCTCGGTCCTGCGGGAGTCTGTGCTCACTTCTCACCCCGTCCGCTCCAGCTGTGGTATTGCCCATCGTGCCCCCCATGGAGGTGCATGGACCTGCATGAGATGTGATGATGTCAGCGGGACTTAGACCGCAGGAGCACAGGGAAGAAGAGGCAGCAGGGACCGGACCGAGGTTCAGGTGAGTATATCTTCCTTAATCCAGCCCCTAGACCAAAATGAGCAGTGCCGGGAAGGAACAACAAAATTAACTCTTCCACGGCTGTGGTAGCCCCACTGCGGGGGTTAATTTTCTTCTTCCTTCCTGCCACCATTTGTTAATTCCTGGAGTTCTTCTTTTTTTTAATTTGTTTTGATAGAACAGGGGGGGGGGGGGGTGGAACTTTTACAAAG